CGATAAGAAGCCACGCTAACTGCGACACTTAGAAACGATTCAATGTTTTATTTATCGAGCTTATTTATAGTAGCTTCTTAATGGAACGGAGATCGTTTGCATGTGAAGCGCGATTTTTAGCAATGAAATCTCACACAAGCGTTCAGAATATCGACAAAACGTTATTGAAACGTCAAACGTCCCCCACAAAAGGCATAATCGAAACCAGATTACGTACGCGTGTACTGTTATCTTCGCGCAGCCGGATTCGCGAAGCCTAACGCTCTTGATCTTATCAGTAACTGGAATGAAACGACAAAAATCCATTCTTTTCGTATCCGATGTAATTAATTTCCCTGATAATGTGTTGCAATTATGTTTTAACATCTAGACGGCGGTATTTATCAACATAAGATTTAAGGAATTTAGTAAAAGATGAATGAAAGTGTTATTTATGCAGACAATAGCAAATAAAAGCATAAGACTAGATTTCTGATTGATTGATTGATTATCGCGTTATGTTATAGATATTAAATAAACACTAATCCACAGTTGCTCGCTATCGAACTCCATTTTATCGTATTAACTCTGTTAAGCTTCCAATCGTCGGAAAATATCACTTTTCTCAAATCTTGTACTGTCCAGTGCTTTAGTGCTTCGACGAAAGCAATTGCCAACTTTCGATTTTTACTACTAAGTACTTTCTTCCGAAACAAAATCATTCGTGGCTCAAAATCATTCGTGGCGCGGATTTCTTTTTGAATATCAACAGCGTAGTGGTTCGAAAATGATCGTTTTCGGACGTGGTCCAACTGGGCTGTAGCTTTTTGAGCAATTTTTTTAAATTTATAGCTACCATGCCTGCTTACAAACTGTCTCAAATCTTCCAATAACATGCGTATTTGCTATATTCTTTCTATAGTCTTTTTCTTTTTGCGTGATATACCTCCTTAAATGTGACAATCGTTGTTATAAGTTCAATACATCGTGTTAAATAGGCTTATTATCGTTCGATTAATTCGAAGCGTCACTTTGTTCGAATGTTCGTCTTAAACATTAGTTTAATTTTATGACATTTAATGTTTTAAATGCAGCATCGAATCGTCTTATACAGTTCGTATTCATTCTATCAAGTATTCTTCACATCTTAATAATGGTTTCGTGACCATTGATAGATACATGTGTGTCACTGTAAGGAAAACTTGGAAGTGTTAATTATTTCTTAATAATATGGTGTAGGATTAACTATCGGAAAGGTAGTCGTCTTAAACTTTTGTTCGCTACTGCAAATATTCAGACAACGAAAGAGTGTAATTATTGTAATTCAGTAGTTATTTCCGTAATAGCACGAATAAGAAACGTTTTGATAAAATATTTGCTACGAAGAATCGCTGCCAGGATATTTCTTATTTTAACTAATCTTTCACAAGTTTTATAACTTCTATATGTGCGATAATATTTAAGCTGGAACAAAACAATTAAATCTTATAATTTTGCTTCTCTTGTAAAATCAAATTTAAAATAAGCAGCGCGATATAACTTGCGCTTTCTATTATCTCGTATCAAGCATAGAGTAAATTTTAATATTGCATGATTTTTTTTCGAAAATCTGCAACAAGGAAAAGTTAGGAATATCTTTCCAAAAGTCCAAAGAATTACTACAAATTGCGATTTATCGGATGTTTGTCCTTCGCGCGGTATTAAAATTTACGAACTTGAGAAGAAATTTAACGATGTATATCTTTGTTTTATTGCTAATTTTTAAACAATATCGCAAAAGTTACAGTCGTTTATTACTTATATTTTTCCGCTTACATACATTTATAATCTACAACATGAAATTATATTTGCAATGCGTAATTTCACATATTGTAATTATAATTTCAAATACATTTCGCAATTTCGATCTTTCTTCTGTCGCAAACTCGCGCCGAGGCCGCATTGTGCGCGAGAAGTAAATTATTTTGATGCAAATCGTAGCATGTTTTATATTAATTAGTGACCTCGTTTGTTGAATATCTCTATCGCGAAGACGACGAAAGTTATAAAATTCTGTCCAGGATACGTGCCTTCCATCGCACTGCGCGACAGTGAGAACAGAGTATTGCCAGTGTTGTTTCAATCCATCGCTTAATTACATATTTACCATCCGTGACGTAGTAGAAATTACTACGAAACGAGCGCAATATCCAATAAAAGAAGTGCATTACGATAAAACGATTTTTACATGTGCGTGTAAAATGCTAAATAATAACAAACAAGCCGCAAACTCCAAAGCCCAAAAACGATGAAATATCTTCGTAAAATATTAAAATATCAGCTTTACTCTACAACTTATTTATCGATGACAAACATACTTGTTTCTCCTACTGTCTTTTTTCCTCTTCTATTTATATCCATAAATCATCCGATTTGAAATTGTATCGCGTTATTGATAATCCTGTCAACTATAAGCTTACTCAGAATGACATTCACAAGCTTGCTGCACGTGCAGTCGTCTATTTATACTTAACTTGAAGAAATGCCCGGTCATTCGTTTCTCTGGAGCCTAGTATCTCAATTCAATTCAAATAATTACACCGTGCACGGTCCCTTTCTCTCGTCTACAACAACTATTCGGGACCTTGGTGTAATCTTCTCGACTGATCTATCATTCGCTTCTCACATCATCAAGGTTGCCACTGACAGTAGTGCGTTCGAGCTTCTTCGTTACATTACATAGAGCGTGTAAGTTTTTTTTTTAAGGACGTCAACACCGTTAGATCGTATCGTGTATCGTGCGTTGGTTAAGCCTCACTTAGAACTACTGTTCTACCATCTGGTCATCTTACCATTCTCGTCACATTATCAATTTAGAACGTGTACAGCGTATAGATTTTTATGCCTAGCCACGTGTTTTAAGCTGTCACGCGTCTCTAACGTTGATTACGATTACTCTGGCCTTTGTCGAACGTCTGTTGCGTCTGAATCTCTCGATCGTAGACGCGAGATACTCGATCTTACATTCCCTCGCAAATCACTAAACGGCGTTGTAAATAGCTTTCTTATCTTATCGTAGCTTATGGAATCTTAGCTCGTCTTAAAACTCGCGTGCTACGAGTCCCTCGATCAGGCATAGCTTATTCCTTAACGCTTGTGCCTCGTAGCGGTGTCCCATAATGGGTCGCTTTGGGTCCAGTTGGTATACTCCCTCGTTTTCGTAGCACAATATTTTCAATTCTAATAGTGTCTTTTTTCAGAAATAAAGGTATATACCTTTATATAAAGGTATAAAGGTATAAAGGTATATAGAGACAGGGCATCGACGCTTGTTTTACTTTATTTCTCAGTAAATCATTTATATACAGGGTGGTTGGTAACTGGTGGTGCAAGCGGAAAGGAGGTGATTCTACGCGAAAAAAGAAGTCGAAAATATAGAATACAAATGTTTCCTTCGAGGCTTTGTTTTCGAGAAAATCGACTTTGAATTTTCGCCCGGTACACGTGCACTTTATCGCGTCTCGTTATAACGGATCTCACCGTAGATCGTTGTCTCGATTGAAAGAAAAAATTTTTATTCTATATCTTCGACTTCTTTTTTCGCGTAGAATCACCCCCTTTCCGCTTGTACCATCAGCTACCAACCACCCTGTATATGAATACATACATGAGCGAATAAATAGCAGGATATAAATAAACCGCATCTGTTCCGTTTACATTATAATATAATTATAATATATTATAATGTAATTAGAGAATAAAAAAACAAAACATAAATAACAATTGGTTGAAGTACAATGATTTCTACATATACGACGTTGGCAAACATCACATTGCGACAAGATAAAACTTGTTACGATCGTTAGACAACAATCTCACAGAATTCTCTAGCATAAGCATAATTGTATTAATAGGATAATCGCAAAAGTTAATGCATAGCGATGATCTTTCTATAACTCGAGGCGTGATGTAATTTGTTTACATTCGTTTCTTTCCAATTTCTCTCTCTCTCTCTCTCCCTCTCTATACACATATACCGAAGAACTTATTATCCGTTTAAATAAATGAACAAATCTTTGAACTTGTACGTCAAAGCTGTTCGAACCGATCTCCTGAGATTCCCCGATCTTCTCTCGGACCTCGCGAGATCAAACGACCAGACGATGATTTTACAAGCGCTGTCGCGTTCGTGGTCGATCCGACGAGGACGAAGCGGGTCGCAGCCTCCG